TGGACGAGGCTGCAGGTGCAGCTGGACGAGGCTGCAGGTGCAGCTGGCACGCCAAGGACGCCTCCGAGTCTGTCGGCTCGGCTGAACTGATAAGTGTATAAAAAACAAGCTGCACACACTGCTCGTGGCAGATTCTCGTGACTGGTCTTCGTGTATATCTATGTGATATAGAGGCTGAGTGGTTAGACCAGTCGTCCTCCAATGGGAGAGTTGGGGGGGGTTCGATTCCACCAGCAGTCACATGCCAAAGTGTTCCACTGAATCCCTCCGATGTGTGTCCCATCAGTGTATGAACGTGATCTAAAAGCACCGATTAGTCTCTTTAGAATGATTTGTTCAGATTATCTTTGTAGAGATGTAGTAGAGTGTTGTGTGAATGTGTGTGTGGAGGTAAATGAGGGCGCAGGTTGTTTTGAGTGTCTTGGTTTGGCCGCTAGCTTTCTATTGCTCAAGGCTGGAGGCAGCAGTAAGAACGAGCAGTCTCATGGAGTAAACACCTCCATCCCCCACCCACGTCGAACAAACAACACACACCTCCTTTCTGACCGAGGCCAGAAGTTATTTGTCAATCATCAAATAAATGTACAGGAAGAAGAAAAATGTGCAGAAATTGAAGGAGGTTCAGCGGCACACAGCGAGAGTGAGAGATCTGCTAAATGTAGCGTGTTTGGATTTTAAAGTTGAGGTGTAGTGTCGTCAGTTTTAATGTGCTTAATTCTGAACAATGAGGCGACTTTTGAACATGAAGCTGCAGCTTCTGTTTGAGACGAGAAAGCCAAGGAGCGAGAACCTTCTCAGACAGAAGAAACAGGGATGGAAAGGTCAAACTGTTTGAGACGGATTGAGGACTTTCACAAGGAAATGGGAGATCAGTTATTTGTTTTAGAAGAGAGGAAGAACGCATCGAGCGCAACACTCCTGCCTGGGCCCGATCCCTGGCGTGACATCATCAACCATTAGTAACCATCATCCATGTACTCGTGGTGTTTCGTGGACTGGTTTCTTTGTGATTTTTGTTAACACTTGCCCAAATGTAAAAAATAAAATAATACATAATCATCGTATTTTATGAAAGTGCACTTGGAACTGTAATGGTGAGTATTGGACTCTAATATCTTAAGCCTCTGATTTCCAAATATTTAGATGTTCGTGCAAAGATGAACCCAGAAAAGCAGGAACACGTAAATTTCAGCTATTTCATTTTAGTTTCTCAACCCCCCTGAGCAAAGTTACACAACATGTATTAAAAACTGGAAGATTTAATCCCTTGACATGATGGGTTTTTATCAGTTAAAGACAGATCCATCGCTTTTGTTACAACCAGTGTAATTTCAACAAGAAGGTCAGAAGGAGACAGAAAATCCAATTATTTTGCTGCAGCGACTCAAGCTGATGGAGTTCGATGGACACCAAAGAATGTGATCAAAGTATCGACAGTGAGGAGGCCAAGAGGACAATCTTTATTCTGAAGTCAGGTTTAAATGTGCACCATGCTAACTGGAGAAAAATATTCTCGCTTTATCTTACTTACCCAAAAGGAGCCACACTCGAAGGCAGGAAGAAAATTTTAACCGGTATTTTACTTGCAAGGACAGATTTTCAGGACGGGTTATATACAGGAAGTACACACGAAGACCAGGCACGAGAATCTGCCACGAGCAGTGTGTGCAGATCGTTTTTATACACTTATCAGTTCAGCTGAGCTCACAGACTCGGAGGCGTCCT